GGGAAATGTTGTAGATTACACCTCCCATACTGGTCATGATGGATGGAGGATTCTAGAGACAGGAAAAAACATACCTCACTGTTTGTTTTGTTCAGAAGGGCTTGCAATGATGACAATAAGAACAAAATAAAGAGAAACAAATTCACGTTAGAAACGAATTTAAACAAGTTGAGAGCATTCAAACAGATACAAGGAAGAAGTCATCAGAGGAATAGCAAAGTGTTACTGTAATGGGAAGAACATTGGGAAATGTGAGAACAGGTGAGGATAAGGGGCAGACTTTGGGGAGGGGTGGGTGGAATGGGAGGTTGTGAATTTTAAAGGCTATTTTAAGTGTATTTATTGTATTTTAATCTGTTTTACCACACGATTACAATTTGTTTTTTTAACTTTTGTTTTGCGCTTTTAAAACTTGATTAAGTGTGGGATTGTTAGCCGCCTTGAATCCCCCAGGAGAAAGACAGGGTATAAATAGAGTTAATAATAATAATAATAATAATAATAATAATAATAATAGAGAAAGTGTGGATCGTGGATGTTGCAATCCCAGGCAACAGCAAAATTGATGGGAAGCAACTGGAAAAGCTTACTCAATACGAGGATTTAAAGATAGAACTGCAAAGACTCTGGCACAAGCCAGTAAAGGTGGTCCCAGTGGTGATCACCACACTGGGTGTAGTGCCTAAAGACCTTGGCCTGCACTTAAAAACAATCGGCACTGACAAAATTACCATCTGTTGGCTGCAAATGGCCACCTTACTAGGATCTGCACACATTATTCACCAATACATCACACAGTCCTAGACACTTGGGAAGTGTCTGACGTGTGATCGAATACAAAGCCAGCACAGTGATCTTGTTGTGTAAAGGTAAATGTTTCCCCTGACATTAAGTCTAGTCGTGTCTCTCTGGGGGGTGCTGCTCATCCCCATTTCTAAGCTGAAGAGCTGGCATTGTCCGTAGACATCTCCAAGCTAATATGGGCAGCATGACTGCATGGAGTGCTGTTACCTTCCTGCAGAAGGAGCACCTATTGATCTACTCACATTTGCATGTTTTTCGAACTGCTAAGTTGGCAGAAGCTGGGGTGAATAGCAGGAGCTCACTCCGCTCCCCAGATTCAAACCTCCAACCTTTTGGTCAGCAAGATCAGCAGCTCAGAGATTTAACCTGCTGCACTACCAAGGGGCCCCATCTTATTGTGTATCAAATAACAACAACAACAACAACAACAACAATAATAATAAAGAAAACAAAGGAAAATGGTTTTAGAAGAGTAAAGCATCTGAGGATTTTTGGATAAAGAAAAGAGTAGATAAATACCAATAATTAATATTTTGCAAAGCTGGTACAAAAAAGCTTAGAGAGTATGAGAAGAGGAAACTAATACAAAAGGAGAAACATAGCCCAGGAGATGAATGCAATTAATTAAGCAAATTACCCAAGGCAGAGGAAAAGATTAAGAAAAAGGGCCACACAAAACAATAATTTTGTCATCTGTTGAAAATATGTAATAATAAAAATGTAAAGGTAATACAAAGATTAAACCAGAAGAACTAGCATCTGAGTTGAATATATCTGGAGTAAATTCAATGTGTTTACAAGATGATAATCCATCGGTACCTAGAACCCATGTAATTATTTGAAGGTGTTCTGATTTTACACATAGTTTTATCAGGCTTAGTATAAAGACATTACATATAAAATAGATTGATAAGCAATAACTTTAGATTAATAAGCAAAAATACTAATATTTAAAGTCACCGGAAATCAAAGCAAACTGTGTTATGTTCTTAGCTTGTTTTTCACTGCGATAACATCTTTTTATCCATACCAACAAAATCCAATTTGTCTAATGCAGCAAATACAGTATTGCTTTACCCATATATACGTAATTTGCCTGAGTCACAAAATCCTAATTACCTGAAAATATTTTTATGCAAGTTAGGTAATTTCAAACTTAAAGCATTTTAAAATTGCTAAATGTGAGTTGCATAGAACTGAGTAAACTCAACTGAATGAAAATCTATTCAATTGAATGGAGTCTTCTCTGAGCAGAAAGTAAGCAAATTTTCCCATTCTTTGACAGGCCTCCAGCTCCCTACACTCTGCAGATGTGAGGCTGGCACTGGGTCTGCAAAGGGAAGGGTGAACCAGCAAAAAGTTGCCTTCTCTACTCTTTTAACTTATAGAAGCTGCCACTGGATCAAAGAAATTCACACTAACAAAGAGGATACAGTTGGATACAATCCCTAGAACTGTAGTTCTTGTGTCCTGGGTTCATCCCTGGATGTTACTTGGATCAAACTTGCTTCCTGAATGTAGCAAAAATGCTTAGTTAGACTGAAATATCAAAGCCTGTAGCATCTTAATGTTTCCGTAAAAGGAATACACAATGACTTTTTATTTTATGAGGAAGTTAGAAAACACATATACCATGATATTGTTCTTTACAAATACTTGTTTTAATTCTAAAAGTTACAGTCACAGTCAGATTTCAATGTTTATACAGAGAAACAGCTTCATCATTGTATTTTCTCCAATTAGTTGCCAACACAAAATATGTCAAACGAATGTATGCAGTAGCCCCACTCTCCCACTCCTTGAATGAATGGTTACAGCACATTGAAACCAATGTCAAACTATAAAAACCAACTAAGGTCACATCATATGTCAAGACAGTATGTCTAATAGTCTGGAATTATCCCAGAATATATTATGTCAATAATGAAGTAACCTTCCACTGTTGTGTCTGCCCCATAGGT